GAAAGTCCGCGATAAAACAGGCCGTTACAAGAAAATTGTGAATTCTCGGCGAATTAAGAAACAGTCGAATGTTATAGTAGATCACAATTATGTTGGAGCACATTTGTGTAATGGACAAGACTGTGAATGCCAGCCGAAATTGCCTAAAAATGTGTCAAGGATGGGCTGGAAGACAGGTCGTAGAATCGTGGAGTTTGATGTTCTTCTTTCTGGTTTAAAGATTTGCAAATTCTGTGGTCTTGGACCAGTTCCACTGACGCTTTTTAACATTGTGGGCGAGTTACAGAGGGGTCTTGGGGGATACCTTTATGTGAAATGTACAAATAATGACTGTGAAGAAATTAACATTGTTCCTTATGGGAAGACACATCGTCAGCAAAAGTCGAAGGGAATTCCAAGTTTTGTTGTAAACACGAAGCTGGGAACCGGTATGTATTTTAGACGATTAAGTCTTTTTTTTTAATAAATAAATAAAAAAACACGTATACAGCTATTGTAATATTGTATATGATACCAGTGATTAATTATGGATCGACGACAGACTGTGGAAAGTGGAGAACTGGTCAGTTTTCAGAGAAACCGTACGTACTAATAACGATGTTGAAGGTAAATAGTTTCACTCACTATGAATATCAGTAACGCCTTATAATCGATTTTCGTTACTCAGTGTTTATAATACCAAACTATAGATACTACATATTTGTTGATATTTTGCAGGCTGGCACAGACGTCTAAATTCACGTGCAGGCGGGGCGCAGCTTGCACTCTACGTTCTGGTGTCTCTTCTTTATGGTGAGGCTCAGTTAGTCGACTTGCAAACTCGTCTCGTCTCACAGAACATGCTGACAAGGGTACGCAGAAAGCAATACAAGGCCATCCATGACAAGCTGTTCGACCTGTGGGACAAGTATGAAGACGGAGAAATAACAACAAATCAACTTTTGAAAAATTCAAGTCACATCATGGGCCTAGGACCAATTCCAGCAACAGTGGATGACCATTGCGACGACGAAGATCTTGAGTAGATTCTGACAAGAAGACAGTAGCATCCAGGAGCGGTTTAGTGGAGCTGAAAAATACATAAATTGACTTGTTTGTATATATGTATAGGGCGTGTAACATAATTATGTGTTTTTATATATGAGTCTGTAAATAAAACGTAGCCTGCATATGTACTGTTATCAATTATTTTGTATTGTTTATTTCAGTATATTATTATTATTCAGTGCGGATAAATAAAACTCAAAAAGTATTTTAAAAAATACTTATTATTTTGTTTATTTCAGTGAAATGCGTATAATAAAAAAATAATACTATAAATGAAAAGTGTTTTTTTATATTTACCGTGGTTTGTTTCATTGTACTGTTCATTTCAGTTTAGTGCGTGTAATTATATTAGTGTTATTAATTATTTTCATCGTTTGTTCGTTTCAGGTTTATGTTGTAAATAAAACTTGTTTATTATCGTTTATTGGCTTGTTGTTTATTCTTTTATATTCATACATATTTAATCAGACAGACAGACAGACAGACAGATATCTTTATTCACTCAAGCACATTTGTACAATATGAGGATTTTCTAATATAGCAAATATATAATACATTAGTTTTCCAGCAGTAAACATACATAATTTTGCACAATATATTTTTTTCTTATAATGTAAACAATATGGTGAATTATTACAGTGTTTTTTCGGGGGGGGGGAATTCGGATATTCTTAATTCTAGATAATTTAACAGTTCATCTTGATAAAAAACAAGAAATAATAATAAAAACAAAAACAAAAACACACATATATAAAAGAATGTACTAAGAGATTCAATCAAGTTATAGATACACCTTTATGCTAAAACTTTACGTTCAAATATAATTTTGAGATTTTCCCTTGATTAGTGTATGTCACGCTTCAATATAGATCTTGACCTTGGTGTATTTATTATTATTGTTATTATTTATTTACTGTTAATTGAAAACAGTAATAATAATAATAACAACAATAATAAACAGAATAAATAAAATAAATATATTTTTGATAGAGTTTTGAAACGATAAGTTTGTAATTTAATTACGCTGTTTCAGGTAAAATTCAACAAGGTTGCATTATAACGGATAATTTATAATTGGCGAAAGATATAAATAGATATGCGCGCGCTCAATATGAGAAAGTTCTCACACTGAGTATATATGTATTCAAGTATTGCAGAAGTATCTTTATGGATTATTTTGGCGAGAAAAAGGGTAAGTCTGTAAAACTGTTATCATAAATATGATGGATGCTATATAATTAAAATTTTGCCAAGACTATACGGATAAATTTACAAAGATTCAACAGTTTGGGCACATTTGTTGAATTTATTAAGCTTTCAAAACTGTTTTCGTTATCAACTAAGTGAAAGTTATTAAGATACATGCTGCGTTGATTGTTAAAATAGTTACAGTTAAAGATGTAATGTCTTTCTGTGCCTGGGGAGCCACTTGTACACAGAGGACAGGTTCTATCTAAGAAAGCGGTACCATCATAGCGCCCGGTCTCTGATGGGAGTCTTGTATTACATGTTCTAAATTTGAAAAGGGTAATGTAGTCATTGCGCGGGATTAGATTTAGGTACTTTTCATAAGTAAGCGACTTTTTAAAGCTATTGTATATACGGCCTTTATTTGATGATTGCATTTGATCGTGCCATATTTGTTTATATTGATCAATTAAGGTGAGTTTAATGCGATATGGAATACTTTTATTTACGGCTGTATTTTGATTAATCCATAAGTCAGTCCTGCCACCAGAGTTTAAAATATCTTTAATTTTATTTATCCACTTATAATTTTGGTCTGAATGATTTAACATAAATTGGTATAGGATATATGAAAGTTTACTTTGCTTTCCAAGTAAAAGTCTAACCCAGAAAGATATCATCCTAGTCTTGACTATGATTTCGACAGGGTATCTGCCTAATTCACCAAAAAGCATATATTTTGGAGTGCTTTTCCTAGCACAGGTTATTCTTCTAAGAAATGTGTTATGGATTTTTTCAAGAAGTTCTAAGTTCTCAAAGCCAAATATTTCAGATCCGTAGGTTAAGATAGGCATTACAGTATGATCAAAAAGTTTAAGTGTAAGATCGATTGGTAAGTCTGCATTATTGCAGCGTGAATATAGCAGATTTAGGGCTTTATTTGCTTGTTGGGTCACATGTTTCCTTGCATTTAGAAAAGAGCCGTTACTGGTAAAGGTTACTCCAAGATAATAATAACAGTCTTCAATAGCTATGGCCTGGTTACCTAGAGTAAAATTATATCTATTCTTTGCATTTCTACTTCCGAAAACAACTATTTTGGTTTTCTCAGCATTAACTTTTAGTTTCCATTCATTACAATATGAATTAAATGAGGATAAGCATTTTTGAAAGTCGTCAGCTGATTCTGACATTATAATTGTGTCGTCTGCGTATAATAAGAGTAATAGTTTAAGCCATGTTTCATTAGTTATAGTATCAGTTAGATTTACTCCCAAAGTTCCATTTGATATAAGATAAGATTCAAGGTCATTTAGATAAATGGAAAAAAGTATCGGGCTAAAATTTTCCCCCTGGCGGACCCCTATTTCTGAAGTAAAAAATTGAGATGTTTCTCCTAAATGTACTACGCAGGACTTGATATTATTGTACATATTGAAAATAACTTGAAAAACTTTACCATTAATAAACTAGTAATTTATGCCATAGCCCAAAGCGCCAGATAGTATCAAAACATTTAGAGAAATCAATAAATCCGCAGAAAAGTTTTTGTTTACGCTTTATTAAAATTTCAATTAATGTATGCAATCTTATTACAAAATTAATACAATTAATGCGCGAATTTGAACACTAAACCTGATAGTTTCACACCTTATCCCTTATTATCACTTTATTATATATTTCTATAGTGGTACGTAACCTCCAAAAATGGTACATTTATGCAGTGGTACGTAACCTCCATGGTACGTAACCTCCAAATTCCATTAATTACATTGACAGTTTATTTTCTGTATCAATCAATTTTAGCAGTAAACTGCGCCGTTACATCATACATCATGTCTAAATCCCATCTGTACGTGATTTCTCTGTACTGTTACACTCCCCCCCCAGCTTTATTTGTCACGAACTACAAGAACTTGTTAAATGTCCAGCTGTTTAAGATGACATATATCACTATCAGTGATCATTTACAAATTTATGTGTGAATAAACCTGTAACACATTTTACTGTAAGTAAGCTGTATTCGTATTGCACATGTACTAACATTTATGCTGCAATACATACATAAAAACTGCGGCATTATCCTTTCATAATACCGAATAACAATAATAGGTCGAGCGTACTGCTGTGACCATTCATGTGACCATTCGTGGATGTTACATCAATACATAGTCTCACCTGACCTATGCTCGCCCAGGCGCATGCTCGCCCAGATTTTTATTTTTATGATATAAACTTATAAAAAAAAATACTATCTGAATCATGTGTTGTTGTTTCTTGATGCTGCAAGTGTCCTAGTTTCTCACCTTGTTTTGAAGAGTTTAACGGAAGTTGTTATAAGCATAATAAAGCAGACGAAAACGAAAACGGAAGTACAAATGAAAGTCCTTGATGCTAATAAAAACAACGAATCATGTGTGACTTTTTAATAAAATCTTAATAAAAATAAACTAAAAATAACAATTAATCATTGCTTTTACTTTTTGTAAAGTTTAAGTCGTTCCGATATATTTAAAACAGTCATAAACTGGTATTGACACCAGCTGTCATATTGTTTTTCTACATGCAATTTCCAGGGCCGCCATAATAGACGTCTTTTTCCATTCAATCTGTCGCTTTTGGTGCAATTATGGTGTATGTTTTGGTTAGACATTGATTTTTTAATAACTTTGTAGATAATAACAGCTTTAGATAAATAATTAATTACTTTTTTCGTTTTTTTTTTTTTTTATCAGAAGTAACTAAAAATAACCTAGGTCTTACACCACTAATTTTCCCCATATCCTCTTCAGAGTGATAAGTATGCCCAGGTAACAAAAAATTCATGATCCTGAGACATTTGAAAAGGCAAGAAAGCTTTTAAAAGAGGAATATGACAAGTGGTGCCACTATGAGTGCTTGCCATCTAATGTGCAAACAGAGGTAGATCTGAGTTTAGTTACCAGCACAAGGTTGTTTTGTAGATATTGTGAAGAGGAGTAATTGTTGGAACAGTAGACCACACACTGTTGTTTTTGTTCTAGTTTATGTTTCTAGTTAACTTTTTGAATTTGAAAAAAAGCTTATGTTCATGATATTTAGTCACAGAAACTTTTTAGTCACAATCTAACAACAGCAGTTGACTATCTTTTGAAAAAATGAAAAGTCTACATAGTAAGTATATATCTAAATAAGTTTTTCTCTGTAAAAATATAATTATATGCAAAAATATAAATACCTGCTTTATATTAACAAATCAGTCTAAAAATATGATGAATGATTCCAGGTAATATCCGTTTTATATTCGTAATATACCGGTGGGTGAGCATGGGTCTCCTCCCTTCAACATTTCAGAATATTAATTTGGTGGTGTTTAACCTGGCAGACAGTACCCGGATGTAAGTGTTTATGTTTTAAATGGGTCACATTACGTACCAAATATGACCAGCTATAAAACAAATTCGAAAAAGTTTTTTTCAAGTCAAAGTGTATTAAATAGTAATCAAATAATTGCCTTTATTGGGCGAGCATAGGTCAATTTTAATGATAAGTTTAAGATGTAAATGGTTTCAATCAAATATTTTGCTTCATTTCTTCTATTGTTTGGTATTTTTAGAAATGATCGACAGTTTAGGTGGGCCCGTACGTGTAAATAACTTCCTGGCTGCATTGAACTTGAAGCCGATTAGTAACAAAAACCTAAAGACCACGGAGAGACGGGCAGGAAACATTGTTGAACATGTGGCCGACATGTCAACTCGTGAGGCAGCCAAGGATGCCTTCCATCGAGAAATGAAGTAAGATTCAGATAATTGCTTACATCAACAATTTCAAAATTGTTCATTTACATGGTCAATGGAAATGTTGATATTGAATGATGATTGTTCTGGGAATGCCAAGCTATAATGCTTGTTTTCTTTGTATTGAACTGGATTTTCCCATGAATGATGATTAGATGAACAGTCTGGCTGTACATTTTTAAAATACTATTGCGAATGGGTGTTAAACTGAACATAACAAAACATTTAAATTTGATAATTGTATAAATACCATCATAATTAATTAATTATAAAGATGACATTGTCAACACAACAGGGTTCGAAAAATCCGGGCATTTCGAACCCTGACACATAACATTAAAATGTTTTTGTTTACACTCGGTCAATATAGCATTTATATTTCAGGGAAGTGGATGAAGCGGAGTCCAAGAGAGCTGCCGACAGGATGGAAGGCCTTATCGAAGATCTTGGTGTATGTCCACTTCCAGATGTCTCCCCTTAACTAAAGTTAGTCTATTTACAGTCATATAGCATTTATAAAGATATCCATTATCATAAGCAGGAGCATAACAGATCTATACCATTTTATAAATTTTCACAGCTGAGAGTATTTTATTTACAAGTTTACTGTTCATTCCATTCTTATATATAGTTATCACAGAATTTTGCTAATTATTTTTCTTTACTCGCTAGACTGATGTTACAACCTGACAACCAGGTAGATGATGATTGGACTGATATAGATGAGGAGAATGATAAAACTGATGATGTGAGACGCTCCTCCGCTTTGAAAAGGTACAAAAAGAGTACTAATATTGTAAACTGTCTGTCAAATCATGAAGTGAACCTTACTAAAAAGGACACAGAAATAGATAAATACAGAGTCCCCAAAGACCTCACAGGCCTTTGCAAACTGCTTGGAATTAGAGCAGACGCCAATTAAATCACCATCTGGACAGGTTCCAAGCCATTCAGACTCTATTTCTACCAATTGTTAAAGAAAAATGGCCAAAAATACATATACCAGACAACATTTAGCAGACAACATTTTTTCCCCAAAATGTTAATATTCTGACCCAAATGTTAATATTCTGATAAAATAAGGAAAGCTTTTGTCTTTCAAAAATTACTTAGTGGTGTTAATTGTAAAGTGTGGATATTTCTTCTGCATATTACAGGAGACGTAATCAAGTTAGAAAACATAAAAAAAACACAACCAATGCTGTCTCGGGCACAGAAAACACCATCAAGTCGAGTGTGTCTGGCACCGAAGTTCCCTTGTCACTCTAGAACAGGACTGTCTTGTGCGGTAGATACTGCCTGGCACAAACGTGGCTTTGTCAGCTTGACTTGTAAGTAATAAGTTATAAACTAACTTGCCAGTTTAATTGCAACACCAGCAGTAGTGAAGACTGTCTTAACACATACACAATTTTAACCGTTAAGGCAATTTGCAATTGAAATGTACTAAGTTTGTTGTGATTGTGTATGAGGCGATAGAGATAGAGAGAGAGTAGGCAATGTTTTGATTAAGTGTTTGCTCTGAGAAGACTACCGTCTTGAAATGTGAATTCTTATGTAATTTTGTTGTGATTAATACTTCCGAGGGATCACTTTGTTTCCAGATTTTTTTTTTCATGGTGGGTTCTAATATTTCTTGTTGCTTTTTGTAAATAGATGTTTAAGTTCGCCAACAGAAAGCGAAATGATACACAGATGTCATTAGTTGTTCATATGTTAATTTTACAGCTCACACCTTCTTCATGAGCAAGGCAAAGTATGGAACGAAAGTAGGGAAAGCAGTCGTTAGTCATCGGACATGCGGAGTATGTAAATGGTGGAAAAGGAATAGACCTTCAGAGACAGTATGAAATCATCGTTGTGTTCATGATCACACAGGAAGTGCCAGGCTTATGGAAAGTGTATCGGGTGAGCGGGGTGTATGTGAGCTACACAAGGACGGAACCCCTGTGGAAGTGATCGAAGGCTATGGAGATAACACCATGATAGCTCGTCTGAAATCCAAATCAAACATTAGCTTATAGTGAAAAACATTGGAAAGAAGCTATATGCTCTTCAGGCGGACAAAAGCAAAAAGCTCAGCAAGTTAGTGATCCTACACATTCAGAAATGTGTGAAGTATATTCTAGCAAAGAATCAAGGTGATCCAAAGGGACTAGAAGAAAATCTGAAAGCTTTAGTACCTCATCAATCCGCAGACCACACAATGTGCCAGCCTCGATGGTGTGGGTACAAGCGTGACCGCAGTGTTAAATACTCACACAGAAGCATGCCCTACAAAGGACCGCTGAAGGACGACCACCTTAGATCTTAGCAGGAAAAACTGTTTGAACCAGTTGTTATGAAGGCTCCCCAGCCCGCAGACCTCAGTTCGAGTCAACAGTGCGAGCACGCCAACAGAGAGGTCACCATGAGGGCTCCAAAGTCCCTTCATTATGGAAATTCAGAATCTTTGGATTTTAGAGTGAAGGCCACAGCAGCATTCATCAATGAAGGGCGTCACTACATTTCAAAGGTACATCTCTTGTTACTGTTTAAGTTTGTTCTGTTTAGTTTGCTTGTTATTTTATTTACAAATGTTAGACAAGTACAGACATAGTTTTGAACAACAATTAAGAAAGTCATAACAACCTTTCATTTGTGGCATAGCAGTTCTGGAGACCCTGTTTCCTTGGTATTAATTGTTTTCAGTATTACATATATTTGTGAATTTTTCATGCATAATTTTGGCAAACTTCAACCATCACTCGAAAAATAAAGAACATTCATAAAGTAATAAGCATTAATTTATATTTGAGAAAGAGAAAACAGTCTCTTCCAGATTGTTGAAGCCTTTAAAAAAATAGAATAATTTTCATTGAAGTGTATTTAGTTGGATGTATTGCCAAAATAATTTTGGAATGTTTGTTTGACGGTTGATTGATGTTGATTGTTTATTGAAGTTTGTTGTTTTTGTTCAGCTGTTCCACTTCAGCACTGTTATTATTCAAGGAACAAGATATTGACAGGTGATGATCATAAGGTAAATACTCTATTATCAAGAACTTTAGAAAGATTATCATTAAATTTTCTGTTATGCTTTGTGCAGATAGGACCTGTATGCCAGTCAGTTTTATGAGACAAACATTCTACAAGATAACTTTTATAAAAAGATATAAGCAATTGCTGTTGAAAATGTTGAGTGATAATGAAGAAAAATATTGCTTATAGACCACTATGCACCTTGATGGAATGTATAAAGTGTTGGTGTGAAAAGCAAACTTTATTGAATAATGGTGTTACTTTTACAAGAATCATAATGCAATTTTCCACAACAATAGTTAAGAGTTATGAATAGTTCCCATTTTATCTGAATTATTTTTGCCTGGGTTTATATATAGATCAAGAAAATTATTTTCTTACAATATCCATGTTTGACTGAATATGTCATTTTAAAGTGTGCTAAATAATCTGATTACTGCTTTCAGGTACACTCCGAGGCAGGTCTTTCCCCTGGTGTCCACAGCCTCAGATATGCAGATAAATGCCAGAAGCATAGGAAGCGTGCCCAGGAAAGATCGGCACTGCCATCGACTAAGCGGCGGCGACTACAACTAAAACAAGAGCGGTCAATAACACAAGGTGCTCAAGAAGCTCTTGAAGGCATGTCCTATCAGTCAGGTAGGTAAAGTGATTTGTGCTGTGTTTTTTTTTACTTACAGAACAAACATATACATGTATTTTGACAAAATACTGTCAGTCTTGCAGGTACTGGTGTTTTCCTCCTTCTTTTCCTTCTTCGAACATCATTAGAAGCTTGTAACTATAAACATTACTAAAACAAAGTTTGCAAATTACCTTTTGTTTACTTTATAGGTTATATTCTAATCTATATATTTGTATTTCAGAGATCGTGCATTCAGATGATGCTGACATCCAAAACCTGCCAGATCCAGTCCCTCGTGGTGACTTCAAACCTATAGTGCTGCCAACAGGACAGCCTACATACATTGCTTTTGACCTGGAGACAACTGGCCTTAGTAAGTAGACCTGTATTGCGAATTCGTTGATATATACCATGTGAAAACTGTAACACAGTCGTTTTCATTTAGGTTATCGTCCTTCGATACTAGGTTGAGTGATTAGTCGTCTCTAAAAATATAATTGTAAAAAATATGCAATATATCAGGAATGGTTTATCCTTATTCGGAACAAGCTGAATTAGAATAAGATCTCAGATTATTATAAGAGCACATAAAACAGCTCAAAAATGTTTATTTATTTATAAATAATTGTGTTGTTTGTTTCAGTACACGATGGCCAGATCCCACATATTACCCAGGTTGCTGCCACAGAACCTAAAAGTGGGAAAGCTTTCAATATGTATGTTCTACCTACATTGCCCATATCCGACAAGGCATAAGAAGTGACCGGCCTAAGAATTATGGATCACAAGATGCAGTACAATGGAACTAATGTAGAGGCTTATTCCATATAATTATGAAGCCTTGAAATCATATTGTGATTGGTTAGAAAAATTTCAAAATGTTGAATTGGTTGCGCATAATGGCAGAAGATTTGACTTTCCTGTTTTGTTGACGGCATGTGACAATGTAGGATTGAGGGACAGAATGTGTAAGTGTGTTGCTGGATGCGCGGATTCACTGTCTATATTTAAAAAAGCATACCCAAACAGGAAGTCTTACAAACAGGAAGACCTTGCAAAGGATCTATTGGGAGCTTCATACTGTGCTCATAATGCTTCAGAAGATGTCACGATTCTTGGTAAACTTATTCACCACTTTGACATATTATCTGTTGCCACACACATTTTCAGCAAAATCTGTGTACCCAGTTGTGCAGTCGGGAAAAAGCAAAGAATTTGCCGTCACTTAGAGTATTGATTTATAATAGTGTGTGTAAGTTAACTACAGCCGAGAATATTGCTGCGTCCGGCTTGAACCTACAACATCTAAGGTGCATCTTTAAGCGCCAAGGCGAAGATGGTCTTCGGAACATTTTTGTGATGAAGAACTGTGACGGTCGTGCTCTTTCTCAAGTCAGAACAATACGTCGAGGTCCATTTCAAGTTGACAATTTTTTTCATTTACTCAGTATATACAGTAATAAACATATTTATAGATTGCTTAGAAATATAGCTTCATGATAATTTGGTCATTTTAAGAATGTTTGATACTTTTCAAAATGTATTTTGAATTTTACATAAAGAAATGTGTACTGGTAATGAAAAATGGCCAAAATCAGTTTATGGGGTTGTCAAATATAATGTTGTGTATTTTACAAACAACATGGTAAATGATGTCTTTCTTTTGTTATTTTTCTCATATGGTTTGTTAGATAATTTCTATGTATTTCATTTGGCTGGACCTTGTAAGTAGGTTATAGAAAATTCTTAGAAAAATTGAAGTAGAAGTCTACATTTTCACGATTTGGCCATTTTCCGAGTAACAATGGTAACATATTTTTGTTTTCATAAGTTTTATTGTAAATACTGTCACTCAAATGATATTTTATTTTGATAATATAATAAATGTTCTATAATTTGGTACCAAATTTCTAATGTTTTTGCAATATCTGTTGAAAATAAGCTCATTTCTATAGTTCAACTCTGGCAAATTTTACATGATCCAGAAAGAGAAAGGCCGAAAACATACACTTTGTCATAATTTTCTTATTAGATGGTAAAAGTCAATACAAATTTGCAAACATGTCAGGCATGTAGCATAGGTTCAATAAATATTAACATTCCATAGGTTCTAAAATATGTCAATGATGGGTCTAAGACCTTAAAATGCAGCCATTAATAGTTGATTCTCGTAATCATAAGCAATTCAATTGAATTCTGCTTTAAGTTATAAATTGTCCAAATTTTGTTAGGTAATATTTTAGGAAAATCAAAAGTCATTTTCATATTCCATTGATGTTTATTTGCTTTTTCCAATAAGATATTAAAATGTAATCAATTCAATTTTTAAATTTTAAATCTTTTAAACTTTTAAATCATAATTGGCTTGTTTTTGATAAAGTAATTATATATATATATATTCTATCCTAATACTATTATGTACAGGATAATATCTTAACAACATGTTACGTACAGCTGAAATTGGGTATATATATTTATCATATTTTATATACTATGGGATATATCCAAGTACTTATGCTAACTGTGATATAAACAATAACTTTTTATGTGCAACTGAAGTGCATATCAATAATTGAAAGAATCATTTGCAATACATTATGTATGATTATTTCGAATGATTCAGGTTATCGTTTGAATCATGCGCTTTAAACGTTTTTCATTAGCCGGAATATTAGATGATTCAACTTTTTCGTCCTCGTTGGGTGGTAACAAAAATAACCAGACACACTTTTATAATAGATGCACTGTCAGTTGTTTTCTTTTCTGGGAAGACTGTCAAAAACATACGAGCCACAATGTAAGGCATTACAAGTAATAAATCTTTTTAACAACTGGAAGTTAAGTTACGTATACATTCATAACTCATCTACTCTGCAATGAATAAGCCTACTCTGAGATGACTTTAATATAATAGTCTTAAACTAGCAAAACCGTGCATTTAATGAAATCACAGTAATATATTTATAAAACCTCATCATATATATCAACATTGTTTTCAAGCTTCATCATTATTAAGATATCATATCAAACAAAAATTTATGTTCCATATATTAACCATTTCATAATTATATGTCTGCAATAAAACACAACATTGATATTTTAAAAATTAAGAATAAAAAAATACTTTAGCAGCTGCTGTTAAAAAATGTCAAATGAAGATAAGACGATCTGAAAATCATTTACATAATTGAGTTGAAGAATTTTACCAGGAATTTAATTAATTTTTTCAAGATCGGAATTCTATCTATTAGAAGTACTTGCAATGTGTATAACCATAGCAATGTATACAAATTTGAGTAATGATTTGGAAAACACAAACTCCAATAAAGACCTCTTATCCTTACTAAATATAGCATAGACACCCAAAATTGATTGTTATAAAATACGAATTGTTTAATGCGCTAAATAAAACAATCAAATTGGGTGTGCTAAGATTTACCCTGTCTGCATTATTTATAAAATATCTCTATTTTTCATTTTCATGTCTATGTCATACTTCAACTATTACCATACTCTTATACATTGTATAGAATGCCATCTGGTAAACATTCATGTAAAGTATAGACATAATCCATGATTCTTTTAATGTTTGAAGTTTGGATTACGAAGTACGACGCCCAACAGCGAATTATTGGTTACATAATTCTTTTTTAATCAGGTGAACTAAGAACGCACAGAACGGTTATTTTGATTGATTATGGACGATAGTGGTGTTAACCGTCTATGATTTTATAATTGATAAGATACCTGTATTTTTCATTGGTATGCCTATTCTTTATGTCAATGTTTATTTTTTGTTTTATTTCATGCAACTTACTCAAATATTATAAGAAAAGTCGTAATCCATCCTTAATTTATTTTATTTTCTTATTTTAAGCATAAACGTATTTTAATAGTGTGTTGGCTATATCAGCAGGTGTCAAGTGCTGTGTGGCAAAAGTTGCCCTGTACTTCACCTCAGTGTTGCTATTTGTCTTTTCTTAGGGACATCCCGCTTCTCTCCGTCAGCAGCCCTGATAGGTGATATGGGCTGGCAACCAACTATCAGTACACAGATGATAAGTGTTTCTAATTTTTGGCACAGACTATGTATGATGCCTAGGTCCAGAAAAAAATACAAAGTTTTTATGTATGCTAATTCAGTTGGTGGTACAAGATGTAAAGACTGGTGTTTCAGAACAAAACACATTTTTAATGATCTTGAATGTACAGAATTTTGTAATATTGATAATATGGTATCAAAAAAGCTATGTAAGAAAAAGTTCAATCTAGAACAATGCAAAGTTTTATTGCAAAGTGGAATGTTAATGTTACATCTGAAAGAAGTAGAAGCGGGGTCGGTTGCAACAAACTGCGCACATATAGGCAGTTTAAGACAACTTTTGGAACTGAGGAATATTGCAAAATCATACTTCCGCGTTGCCACAGGTCCGCTTTTGCTAAGTTCAGATGTGGAACTGCACCACTAAGAATAGAGACAGGTAGATATGAACGCCTACCAGTAAATGAAAGGCTTTGTCCTTTTTGTAATGACAAGGTAGAAAGTGAATTTCATACTGTAATGGAATGTTTTATGTATGAAGATATTCGTGTAGATCTATTTGAAAAAGTGAGTGTCAAAAACCCACATTTTCACACAATGACAACTATGGAGAAGTTTATTTTTATATTCTCAAATACGAGTTGTGTACGGTATATTGCCAAAACCTGCTTTGACATACTTAAGAGAAGGGTAACTTTCCTTTACATATAAGAACATACAAATTGCTCTCTTTTTCTGATGTGTCTTTTTATATGTTTTTATTTTTATTTAAAATATGTACATTGTATATATAAGAATAATAGGTAAATGTTTTTACTGAAATGTAGGTTTTAAGATAAATATTTTAACCAGACTAAGACTGTGATCTCACATTGTTATCAATTTTTCAAAAGTGAATACTATTTTATAGTTTATATAGTCCTAGATAAATTTAATTGGACAGTATAAAAATTTATGATAAAACAGTCTTAGTAGATTTAGATTTTGGCAGGGTATGGTTTTTAAAAATGTCATTAATTGACTTATATAAGTTTTAATGGTCATATTTATTACATATTGGACAAATATGATTATGTTGCTTCTGTATAAAACATCCATTGACTAAGCCAATATATTGTGTGGATAAAACAGATCTTCACGTAAATTATGTTGAAGAAAACAAATCGTTGATATACTGAAGTTAGTAATATTTTAAGATTGTAAAGTATCAAGTGTAATAAATGACATATTTTCCAAGGTTAAATGATTTATAATGGTCAATTTGTCTTTTTACTATTTGCATTTAAACATTTTAGTATCGTTTTATTCATTGTACCACAATGTAACCTTCTGTAGGAAAAACATGCAATAGTTCGAATATATTGAGGTCATATTTTTTTAAAATACAACAACCTTTTAAAGAATGATAATTGTGTAGCTAGGGGGGAAAACTCCTCAGTGCATAAAACAGTAACTGCTGTGATATTGACTGTGGAGTTGTCTCCCTTAGAGGTAAAAATAAATAGTCTCTTGTAATTCTTTTAGAATGGCTTTTCATGTATTTATGTTTGTGTTTAACGTTTTATATGTAATTTTATGTATACATGTAAAGAGGAGACTGAAATAAAGAAATATATATGTTAACATTTTCTGGTTCTTCGGGATCATTGATTTCATCACTAATATGTGTTGAAAATGAAGTAACGCTCTGCGTGTGATGTGTGAGGGATGTTGCACTTTTTCAATGTCCCTCATGTACAGACTCAATAAAATCTGCATTTTAAAAAAAAATGTGATGATTGCTTCCGAGAGATCACCCTTCTTTAACATGTTTATACTTCATAACAGCCGGTGTCAAGTGTCGTGTGAAAAAAATGCGATGGCTGAACTGTGCTCTGGTGAATTCAAAGTGGCTTTGGTACCAATTATACTATAACT